GAGTTGCATAATTAAACAAATAATAAAATTTCCCTGAGCAGAAGAGTAAGACTGCAGATTAATGAGCTTATCAAGTCCTGGGAAAGATAATTATAACAGACAATCTTAGACATACCCTGGTGAAATTCCTCATAAAGGGAAAATCTCACAAGCCACTAAGAGCACCAGGTCCTTTACATTGGAGAGTCAAGTGAGCTCTATTGGACTTCTCATCTCAAACTCTGGATAGAAGCTGGTTGATGGTGAAATAACATATCCAGACAATCAAAGTGAAGCATTTTTTATCCAAAAATGTATTATTCAGGCAAAGTACCCATCATATATCAGTCAACAAAGGAAGGCATATTTGGATATACAAGCAAGTGCTCTAACCAGATGACAACTGAATCGGAACAGAAAGCCTGAGACAGGGGAAGACATTAGATTTTTTTTCTCTTAGGTATAAAGGAAACATTAGGTTTTTTTCTTACAGTATTTTTTTGTTTTATAAATTTATACTCAGCACTTATACAAATTCCTGTGCATTTTTAGACATTTAAACTTAACTGTATAAATGTATATAAAAGAATAGAGAAATAAAAGCCTTCCTAATGCTTAATTTGGTGTGGGGCAAGGAGATACTGGTAAGTATAATATTTGGAGGGAGTTTCAGATATTTATTTTGACAAAGAATAATGTATTTATTACTGTTGTGCTATTTGGGAGGTAACCAATTGCACAATTGAAACATTGATAAAAATTCGCAACAAATTCAGGAAAAAAGGAGTATACATTTAAATTGACCAAAAACAAGAAAAGAGAAAACATAAGAAGCAACTATATAACTAAGTGGAAATGAAGATTGTAATGATCATCACTCCTACTGCAACATTGAGAAGAATTCACATAAACTAAAAAGTTCTCAGAAAGAAGTTTGAATATAATAAATTTCATGGAGGAACGAGTCCTATTCCCTCAGGTAGTGTATACCAGTAGTCAGTTTTAATACCTGAGAGCATTCAGTTAATACTTGGCAAGGTGGTTCAGCTGGTTGGAGTGTTATTCCATGCAACCAAAAGGTTGTGGGTTCAATTCCTAGTCAGGGCACATACCTAGGTTGCAGTTTTGATCCCTAGTTGAGGTGCATATTGGAGGCAATCAATCAGTGTTTCTCTCTCATATCAGTGTTTTTCTCTCTCCCTTCCTCTCTCTAAAAATCAATTAAAAAACACATCCTTGCGTGAGAATTTTAAAAATTAAAAAGATAGAGACACAGGAGAATAGAGGAGCAAGACTCTATAGGCAAAGTGATTTTCTGAGACAGAAATCAGTTGAACTAAGGATCATGTGGACTGATGTGATGGATTGGGATCTGAAAGACCCTAGTTGTGAATCAGCTCTCTCCACCCATCATTTCTCCCCCACAGGACTTTTGTGGCATGAGTAGTGAAATATGGAAAGGCAAAGAGAGAGGGTTCTTTTCATCTTTAGGTACTCCCCTAGAGGGAGTAACTGACATTTTATTTTTGGAATATTTAATAGATATTTTGGAATTAACTAAAGCAACAGCCCAGCCCCAAACCCAGACCAACTCCTGATTTGAACAAAGAGATCCACCCTTCATCATAGCTTTCTAGAAAAGGAAAATATGAGCCCTTTCTAAAGGAAGGTGTTTTTTATTTCATTCTTTACTGATCATATATCTAGCAGTTCAGGAATGATGAGGTGTGCTTGTGAATAAGCAGGAATAGATGACCCATAATCAAGAAAAAGAACAATCAGTGAAGGACGCCACAGATGAGCAAAATGTCAGAATTAGACAAGAACTTTAAAATAACTTTTATACACATTGAAATAGTTTTTGAGGACACTCGGGCAAAATGAGTGAGAAGATGGAGAATTTCAGCCAAGAAATGGAAAAAAAAACAAACAAAAAAAAGAATGGAAATTCTATACCTGATGAGTATAAAAAATGAATTGAAAAATTAATTAAATGGGCCTAACAACTGATAGTGTATAATTTTAAAAAAATTCTTGCATTAAGAATTGGCATTATTTGAGTATTTTACAATATATTTTACTTGGGTTTAAAACAATTTTTTTTAATTCAAGGCCACTGTTGCTGTATGAATAAAAAAATGTGTCCATCAAAATTACCTTAAAGACTATTAGTACACTTACAACAAAACTGTTAATTTGCTCAGTGGTATTTCTTCTAAAAAGCATATCTTTTTTCTAGACTCTTGAGGCCAGAAATCATAATTTATCCTTTATAATTTATCTTTTATTTCTGAGTGCCCAGTAGCCACTCTATAAATATTAGTTGATTTGATAAAGACAGTATTGGCCTTTATACTTCACTGGCTAACAGCAGATGTTTATAGAATTTTTAAATGAAACAAAACATTTTTAAAAGTCATGTTTTATGGTAGTTTGTTCAAGTTCAAAGCAGTCCAATGGCAAAATTCCCTCTTTTTCAGGGAGGTCAGTGTTTATTAAGGCTTTCAGCTGTTTGGATGAGACCCACCCACATTATGAAGCACAATCTGCTTTACTCAAAATCCACTGATTTAAATGTTAATACTATCAAAAATACCTTCACAGGAACATCTGAGATGTTTGACCATATATCTGGGTACTGTGGCCTAGCCAAGTTGAAACACAAAAATAGCCATAGCAGCAAGCTACTTATTATGAGCTTTCACCTTATTAAAAGTGAAATAAGGTACACATATAGATAAATATAGATTCTTTAGTTAAAATTTACATAAAATGGTGCTATTCGAGATATTTTTACCTAAACTTATACTTTTCTGTAAATTCTTTTCTGAAAGTTTGAACAAATATGTGTGATTGTATTTCCAAATGATTTTATTTCAACAGGCAATCCAAATTTAAAATTAAGATGATATCTTTGGATAATCCACTTTAAGGAACGATATTTTTGACACATCCTAAAAATGAAACTAAAGTATGTAGTTTTTCTTTCTAATTCTTAAACTAAAGATGAAGATTTTGGGTTTTTTATTTGTTTGTTTTCATCATTTTGAAGTTACTTTGTAATTGAATAAGAATTTTAAAGTCAGTAATCAGCCTAGGTCAGTTTTACAGCAGATTACAATAGTGAGAACACACATGTAAAGTATTGCTAATTCCTGAACCACTTAATATGACTACTTTCATTTAAAAGCCATCATGTCTGAGACAATATGGAAGGACCTGGAGAGTATTGTGTTAAGCAAAATAAGCCAATCAGAGAAAGACAAATATCACATGATCTAACTTATTTGTGGAATATAATAAACAAAATAAGCTGATGAACAAAAAAGACCCAGAGACATAGAAGTAGAGTACAGACTGACAAACCTCAGAAGAGGGGGGCGGGGGGAGGGAAGAGATAAACCAAAGAAAACTTACCTGCATAACCAATGGACATAGACAACCATGGGCGGGGAGGGGGGAGTGGGATCAGGAGGAAGGTGTCAATGAGGGGAAAAGGAAAAATATCTGTAATAAAAATAAATTAATAAAAAATAAAATAAAAGCCAGCATGTCACGCTAGACTGTTCTTAGTGGTGGCAGCTAGAGAGAGATGTAGAGCCTGGGTAGTGGGGATTTCACCATTTGTTCTATATACTAAAATATAATTAAAATCTTGCATTAAGAATTGGCATTATTTGAGTATTTTACAATATATTTTACTTGGGTTTAAAAAAAATTTTTTTTTAATTCAAGGCCACTGTTGCTGTATGAATAAAAAAATGTGTCCATCAAAATGACCTTAAAGACTATTAGTACACTTACGACAAAACTGTTAATTTGCTCACTGGTATTTCTTCTAAAAAGCATATCTTTTTTTCTAGACTCTTGAGGCCAGAAATCATAATTTATCTTTTATAATTTATCTTTTATTTCTGAGTGCCCAGTAGCCACTCTATAAATATTAGTTGATTTGATAAAGACAGTATTGGCCTTTATACTTCACTGGCTAACAGCAGATGTTTATAGAATTTTTAAATGAAACAAAACATTTTTAAAAGTCATGTTTTATGGTAGTTTGTTCATTTTCAATATACTCTTGCCAAGTGATTGTTTTGTGTTGATCTCAACCCTACCTTAAGAAAAGTAAGTTAAATGCCTGTAAATGAGAGGAACTAATGTTTTGTTTCAACTAGGAATTTTGCTAATTGATACTAAACGGTACATTGCCGTCCTCACTTCTAAACAGCCCTGCATGTGACAGCCTTTAGAATTATTTGAACAAACTATTATAAGACCCTAACTCATTGGTTTGCTAATGAGCATAGACTATAAAATAAATGAGACCCACACTTGTGTTCATTTTTAACCTGAATTTGAATCAGTATCTTTACAGATGAGATGCACTGTGTTATATCCTTAGAAACTGTTTATTATGAAGACATGCAGTTAAGAACACTGGGAACAAAAAGAGAAACTTTTCTCAAGTTTCTCAGTCAGTATTATTATTTTAAAGGAGAGAATGAAAAGGAATTTTAATTTTCCAGGTATTCCATGCTGATTGAATAAACAGCACAGTACTTCATAGTAGGAAGACAGATCAAGGAGAAATTCATATAGATTAATTTATTCTTTTTGAGAAAATAAGGCAGTGTTTTCTTTCTAGCCCTTGTGATACTTCCTTGTGAAAACTTGATGACTTCAAGCCAGAAATAAAACTTTCAAGGAAGAAATGCAACAGAAGCAGGGATAATGGTGTATATAAATTTTGAGCAGAGAGCAGGATATGGACACATCTTGTGCTGTTGCTAAAGGTCACTGGAATGGGAAAATTGACTTTGCTCACCTTGCATCATGTCTCTTAGCTAAACTCTCCAACTGTTTCTGACCATAGAATTCATGATACAACTTGAAAGATCCTGCCATACAAGTGAGGCTTTTTTCTTGTATGCTGTAGGAGTCATGTCTTACCGACATAAGTGTCTTCAAAATAAAATGGATAGGTATGAGAAGCAAATATTCACACTGTTTTCTTTTCACAGGAATTATCAGCGTAGAAAGAATGCCTTGTAACCATCATGTAGAAACAGCACCAATGGTAAGGCAGTTTATTTCTGCATTGTTAAAATTGATAAGAAGCTACAAAATGATACTGGTTATAATAATGCCATTGTAGAAAACTCTTATCACCTCCCTTTTGTCAGAAGTTATATCCCTTCAAGAAAATGAACCTCATGTTTTCTAATTAATGAAGAAAATGTACTAATTTTTGCCAAGATATAGGAAAATAAAATCTGTATTATTTTATAGGTACTTGTTTATTTTAATGCTATAAATAGAATGGTTTTTAACTTAAAAATACTTTATACTTTTGATAAAATAATGTAAGCATATATGCAAATTTATTTACACCGTTTTAAAAATGAGTGTTATTTTGTGCACTAGCATCATTTAGAGTGAATGTTTTGTAATAGTGGAAGAAGGCCATTATGCTTTAATTTTCTTATACATTACTAAGATTTCTTATTATCAAAGTGAAATTTTTTTGTTTTATCCCTCATAAATTACTACCAGGCAACAAAAGGCATATAACAATTACAGTATTATTTACTATATTAAAAATAACTATAGAAGATGATTAAATTTAGTCTCTGAATATATTTATATGAAATATATATATCAATTGATGATTCCACTTGAAAGGTTCATGAGATGATATAGACTAGGGTATATCTTCCTCTTCTGAAAGTATAATCTTATTTTTTGTCCTTTCTATTCAATATAACTCCTCATTTCCTGCTGTTAGAAAAAATTGGTAATATATCTTTTATAAGAAAATGAAGACAGTATTTTACTGGATTTGAATTTTATTGATAATATTTTTCTCAAAGGCAGATTGACTCCATTTTCTATTTGTAATAAATCCATATGATTAATTTATCGTATTTGATGACTTACTATGTGGCACTCCAGAAAAGACTAGTGTTTGAGGAATTAATCATCAGTCTAAACATAAAAAATTTCTTGGCTATAGTATGTATTCTAATTATCTTTATAACCATAACATTATGTGAATTTTATTCTTTAATATTTAAAAATGGAAGATTAGCAATTATGGAAAACAAATTATTTCTTTATTTTATCCTCACCTGAGGACATTTTTGCATTTTATCTTCAGATAGAGCGGGGGGGGGAGAGAGGGAGGAAGAGACAGAGAAACATCAACATGAGAGAGACACATTGAGTGGCCGCCACCCACATAACCCCAACCAGGGCCGGGGACAAACCACAACCGAGGCACATGCCCTTAGCGGGAACCAAACCTGGGTCTCTCCAGTCTGTGGGCCGTTGCTCTGACCGTTGAGCCAGACTGGCCAGGGGTAAAACAAATTATTTTAATGTATTTGAATCATATGCTTATTGGATTATTTTACATAATTTTGAAATTTATGTTATTCTGTAGGCATTCTTGTGGCACCAGTGTTTACATTTCTGGGTCGTGTTTTTTTTGTTTGTTTGTTTGTTTTTGTATATTCTATAACTCAGAAAAGTGCAGCCTTTTTTATTTAACCAAATGAAAAATAATAGAACCGAATCCTCATGAACTCATAAGAAATAATGTTATTGACATTCACATTAGTGATCTCAAAATTACTCCAGTGAATTAGGAACAATATCAAATGATAGTTTAAGTACTATTGGTCTTTTGATTCTGTTTTTCCAGTTGGATTATGAAGTGGTAGTTCCTGTTGTTTTAATAACAGTTCTACTCTGTGTAGTCCATAAGTTCCAAAATACTTGGTTTATACAGGCACTCCCCAAACACTCAATTCTCCAGGTTGTGACTTGAGCCAAGCTTCCTTTTTACATTTTTTAAAGCTCCTCTTCTCTCTCTCTTTACTATAAACCAAATATATTCTACTATCCCTGTCCCCCCGCATTTCCCCAGCTTACTGACAGTTAACTTTGACCCTTTCTCCATAACCTCTAAATTGGATCATAAGTATGTTCATAATCCAGTGTCCTAGAAGGTAAAGTCTGATTTTCACAGAAAACAGAATTTTACCCAATTTCCATCCTCTGCACCTATATGCTCTTATTTTCATTAAAGGGATTAAGAGAAGAAAACATTTAGAGATAGAAGAAATAGGAAAAAAGTCTGTCTAAAAATTTAAGGTGGAATATTTTTAAGTTCAAACTTTATACTACTATATGAGGCCCAAAAAAAAGAGATATTCTTGGGGTTTGAGAAAAAAACAGGAAGTGTGCTAGGATTTCAGAATGGTTGAGGCTGGGGTCGTGAGTGACTTGACCTGGTACCTAACCAGCAATTTCCAGCTTACTTCTCTGCACATTGTCGCTCTCACTTCCCTCTTGCCCTAAGTACCACCGTGAGGGGCTTAGGTCTAGGAGAGTGTCGCCAGCTACAGCTACTCATCAGGTGAGGGAAATGAGACTTTTTCCAGCCTCTATAACAGGGGAAGAAGCATGTCTTGACATTCCAAGTAGGAATGAACTTTTCAGTAAATACATGATTACAGAGGATAATCTGATCCTATAGCACTGTAATGTGATGTTGTGTTCTCTAAGAATATATAGGGTATCCTGAGACAGAACCACCTCTGTACGTTTGTTCTGTCTTCTCTCTCACTCTCTTTTTAATTTACTTGTTTCTTTCTTTTTCTAATTATTATATGAATTTTAATATTTTTGTTTGGAATTTTTGTTCTTTCTGACAAATAATGCTGTATCTGTTTTTGGGATGCCTTGGATAGAAAGTAAAACAAATATCTCCACATGACGGTCCCCCATTCATCAAAAACAAGCATACCCTTCTTCTTTTACTAGCTATAGTCACTACTCTCTTTTTTGCATTCTGAGCTCTTAATTTATGTCTAAAAGTATGTTTCAAGTTATATTTTTAAGAAATATTAATTCAGAGAGGTATATTATCTGAGTCTACATATTTTCAAATATCTCTTAGTTGCCTTTGCATAAGACAGCTTGCCAGGGTTTTTAATTATTTGAACATAACCTTTTTCCCTCAAAGCATTGCAGAAATTAATCATCTTTTGCCTTGTAGAGGTTAGTATTTCAGGATAGACATTGGACCTCAGCCTGATAGTTACTCTTTTGTGTAGGTAGCCTGTTTTGCCTGCTTGCGTATTACAGATGTTCTTTATACCTAACGTCATAGTTCAGATTTGATGGTTAAATGTGTGGCTTCCTTTTCTCTGACTTTTGTCCTGAATGGTATTCACTCAGACATTTTAGTATTTTAGGAAAAGCAAATAAAACATTAAATAATCATAATGATATATTATGTGAAAATAATTAGATCATACCACTTTAAGAATTGCTGCACCTGCTTATAGCTTACAGCAAATTAAGGATAATATCAGACTCAGATTAATCAGAGGTCATTGTCTGAACCCTGAAAGGTGGTGTAAAAGTTAGTTAATAGTTAAGTCTGTACAGGTTTGAGTCCCATATTTACCTTAAATGAAGGGCTTATTTGCAAATCAAAGAAAAATAGTAACTGCATGAGGGAGTCTTCCCTCACATATTTGGCCTTTATTTATTTGAGATTATTACATGAGGAATATAATCAAAACATACCTGCCCTTTAATGTACAACCATATGCATAGCAGTTCCCATAGCTTGTCATATTGTCTGGTGGAATTAAAACATGGTAAGCCATGCTGAATATATAAATAACTGTAGTGATTTGAGGAGAATTGATTTGAATATCTTCCAGTGAAAACAAATACGATAAAATCCAAATAGCATCAGTGTGTGGCCTATTGTAATCAGTCACTGATTTTTGTAAAGCTTCTTTCATTCCAAACCTGTAACACCAACTAATATTACTCCTTTCTCCTTATTTTATTTAGTGATTCCATAACCCCCATTAGTGAGAACAGTTTTTCTTTTAACAAATGGATTTTTTTGGCAGTTTATAAAACTACGGGTTACATGTTCACAGAAGCCTACATGTCTACTACAGCAAGTTGAAACAAAATCCAGGCCTTCTCCTGGAACACTTTTGCCATTCATCTAAGTGTTGCATTAGTTATTAGGAATTAAAATAGCCTAGCTTGATTGGAATTTAATGTTGATTTTTTTATTCTTTCTCATTATAACACCAAGCTGTTAACAAACTATTAATTCATTCTGCAGTTACACTTCTAGGTTTTCTAAGGGTTTGATTGATAATTTTTGTCACATAATTTTCCATCAGTAATAAACTTCAATGTGTTATAGAGTGTTTTATTATTCTGAAAATATATCTGAGATGTTTGTGATGTTGCTTGCCCTTAACACTAACGTTATTCATAAATGTATTTATATGTTCTATAATTTAATTTTATTCTGGGACTCTTGAATTTTATGATATCGGTACCTATCCTACCACATATTGAGTTGTTTGTCAGGTTGTTATCATTGTTTAGCCCACTCTGTAGGTTCAAATACTACTGCATATTGCATTATTACACATTATATAATATATTTTATGAGTATATGCATCAAAATATATCTTTCACATTTTAACATAATTGGGGCAGCTTGTTTATGGATAAATGCATGAGTTCAAATGAAATGTCTTTGATCCAAAGGAAGCACTTTATTTTCTCCAATCTGTAGAATTTTCCAGGAATTTATAGTATGTAAATTGGGGTGAATGTCTCCCTATAAAACTCATAAAACAGGAGCTGTGGCCATTCTCTTCCTGTAGGTAATTGCAGGGTGGAGAGGGAACTGATAAACTATAAGCTTTTATAGCTTAAGTCATAAAAGAATCTGTTTTCACTTATCAATAAAGTAGCAATTCAAAGCAGTTCTACTGAAATTGAAATATAAATGCAAAATAAGTTCTCTTTAAGAACACTGTGAGTTGTCCATAATATAACATTTTTCTTAAATATCTGCACAGTAGTTTTATCCAGACATTGTAAATTATGATGCTTATGTTGATTTTTCCCAGCAGCACACTCTACTGACATTTATGTTTTTATTTGATTTCTCCCTTTAATTCTCTTTTAACTATTCTAAATTTTTCCACCTGGCAAATTTTAAAATCCTGAAAATTTTAGCCC